AGGGGAAAAAATAGATATGCGCGAACCGGGCCGGCCCCTAAGTGTTGTTTTTTAAAGCCAATTAATTAGATCTCTTTCATATATTTTGGTAGAGAAATATCACATACACTTAACACACGTAGATACAGAGACATATGGACACACAGACGGAAGCTGATCTTAGAGCTTTTGTTAAGAATTCTTCATTTTCCAGTTTTAAAACAGTTTCTCTCCCCCGTGTAGGCTATCAATCCATCAGTCACCCATTCCATTGCCCCAAGCAATTGATAGCCAGGAAACTCTAAATTCAAACTTCCAAAGGGATGACTCCCAGAGGAAACAAGGAGCTGAAGGGGAAGTCTTGGCCTCAACAGGAGCAAGCTATTTTATTTTTCTAAGCTTTGTCACCTTGCTCCCCAGAGACCTAAGCAAGGAATTTTCCAATATGGTGAAGTAAGGTGTCTTCTCAAAGGTTTTCTCCCTCTTTCTCTTTCTCCCAGCCAGAGACCCAGGTTCCTCGAATATAATGTCCAGCTTGGGGTGCTTAGTAGGGCATTCCCAAATGTCATGTACTGTGCCTGCAAAACAGGTGGATTGAAGAAGGAAAGGAAGAGGCGGAGGAAAGGAAGCAATAATTCCCACTGAGCATGACACGACAGCTGCAAATAATTCAGAGAGAAAAGGAGTGACTATTGAAAAGAACTGTTTATACAAACATATTTTTATGTTTTATTAATAAACTTATATAAGTTATACTTTTAGAAACTTGAGTTGATCTGGGTGAGGTGATAGGCCGCGCTTGCTTCCTGGAGTTGATCAGTTGTGATTGACTTCTAGATTATCCATCTAGTGGAAGGAACCAGAGTAGGGATGGGGGCAGGCCTGCTGTCCTATCTTTACTTTTATATCCTGTATTTACAAATACTGGGCACGCACTTATTATTTACTGAATGAACACTGATAGGAAAAAGGCATGTGAAACAGCAGTTAGTGTCTCTAGAGAATATTATATAGTTTTAAAAATTGCATTGATTTTGTTGACTTTTCCTCGAGCTATTATTAAACTAGTAGCTCCATGGAATCTGGAACTCAGTGGAATCACTCATCTCTGAAAACCACATGTTTACACCCGTTGTCATTTGCATAAGTTAAAAATTACAGAACATGTGCTGATTGGAAAGTGATTACCTCCTAGGTTATTTCAAAGTGGCAGACTGAACTACAAATAGAACACAAGATGTGTCTTATACCAAATTTGGTCAAAATCAGTTCACACTTCAGAAAGTTAAAATGAAAGTGAAGTTAAAAAATGCCCAGAGCTGGATCGATGCAGCAAAACCAATGACTGCCGATAAAAAATGTGCGTGTGTGTGTCCGTCAGTTTACTTTACAAAAACAGTTCTTAAAGGCTGAAAGATGTGGGGGGAGGTGAGGGGAAAATCAAATGCATGGCTGGGAACATGCCTCCAAACATCCACCCTGCCCCCCAGATCCCAGCAGCCTTCCCTGTTCACTTGTTCTCATGCCCGGTGCTGGTGGCCGTCGGCCTGCTGGGCAGAGACTTGGGGATCTTCCTGCGCCAAGTGCGCTTGCCCCTCCCCACCTGCCCTGTTTTGCTGCCAGTATCACATGCCTTGAAGTATGTTAGCTGATAATTTATGATCTGCAAGTTCCCCCTCATTCTCCTTTCTCTAAAATTTTCTGGTTACATTTATTCTTTCAGGTTAATTTAAAATCAACCTCTGAAGTCCTGTTAAAAGTCCTTAGGAACGTGTTATTGGAATTGTATTGCATATATATGTTAGCTGAGAGAAAATCGTCATGACGATGTTATCCCATCTAGGGATGGTGTGTGTCTTCTTTAAACTCAGATCTATATTCTTTAGTTAAGTTTTATAGTTCTCTTCATAACAGTTTAATGCACTTGTGATAGAGCATTATATTTATATATATATATACACACACACATTTATAAACAGAGAATATATATTGTATACACATGTAGTATCTATATAGTATATATATATTATTATATATACTATATTACTACATATATATTTTATATATATATATATATATATACAAACTTTATATATATTTTCATTGTTATTGTGTAAGTGTTCTGTTACATTTTTAATTAGTGCATGGAATGGATTGTGCATGTCGATTTTATGTTAGTCACTTGACTAAACTTTCCTGTCCTTTTTAAATGAAAAAGAATTATCTTGGATATCTTTGGATAAAAAGATAGATCCTCTATGAGTGACAGAAATCTTGTCACTTCATGATCGGTATTTGTATACCTACCCCTTCCTTGTCTATTCTTATTTGGTCGACTAGGACATGCAGAACTGTGCTGAATGAATAGCAGAAAAGGAGCAGCCTGTGTTGTTTCCGCCCCTAATGGAAATGCTTTGAATGTTTCATTATTAAGTGAGATGACAGATTTCTGATAGACATCTTTTAGCACCTTAAGGACTGTTTTCTCTTCTTCTAGTTTACTGGATAGCTTATAATTCTCTCCATTTCCCAAGGTTGTTATGAGCATGCCCAGGCTCACTCCGTGCCCTTTCTTACTGCTGACCTTTGCTGCGTTGTGGTCTCTGCTGGGGTATGTTTCCGGCACCTCTGTCTCCTGTGCAGGAAGCTTCCCTTGACCTGCTGCCTCTATACATCCCTATCATCCCTTCTCTGCCTACTTTGTAACTTTTTTTGGATATGTCTGACTTTATGAAAAATTACAGAGCTAAAATCCTTAACTATTAACTTTGTGTCCCAAATGCCCAAGCCCCTGACATGTATATAGGAGAAGTTCATTTAAAATTGTTTTAATAAATGAGCAAATAAAAGAATCATTGAAAAATTTTCTGTGGATAATACAACCAGCAGGTGATTTCTCTGAACTGGATAATACTTTATTATTTCTTTTTTTTTTTTTTTTTGTCTTTTGTCTTTTTTCCGTGTCCGGCAATGGATCGCAACCCTCAGTGTTGCCCCCGTACCGGACCGGGGACCGGCAACGGGATCGCAACCCTCGGTGTTGCACCCGCGCCTCGCTCAGCCAGTGAGCGGGAACCGGTCTGTATGTGGGATCCGAACCCTCGGGCGGGAGCGCCGCCGCGCTTCCCAAGCGGCACACTATCCAGTGCGCCACCGGGCCGGCCCAAGATATTCTGCTCCCAAGCTTTAACACAATAAATGGAACATTTTGTTAATTTTTTCTTCCTTTT